TGACAAGGACACCACGAAAAAAGAGAACTACAGGCCAATATCACTGATGAATATAGATGCAAAAATTCTAAACAAAATTTTAGCAACCAGAATTCAACAATTCATCAAAAGAATCATACATCATGATCAGGTGGGATTCATACCAGGGACACAGGGATGGTTCAACATCCGCAAATCAATCAACGTGATACACCACATCAACAAACTGAGGAATAAAAACCACATGATCATCTCAATAGATGCAGAGAAGGCATTTGACAAGATCCAACAGCCATTTATGATAAAAACTCTGAACAAAATGGGCATAGAAGGAAACTACCTCAACATTATAAAGGCCATATATGACAAACCCATAGCCAACATCATACTCAATGGGCAAAAACTGAACGCCATCCCCCTGAAAACAGGAACGAGACAAGGATGCCCTCTATCACCACTCTTATTTAACGTAGTACTGGAGGTCCTGGCCAGAGCAATCAGGCAAGAAAAAGGAATAAAAGGAATCCAAATAGGGAGGGAAGAAGTGAAACTCTCGCTGATTGTAGACAACATGATCTTATATATAGAAAACCCCAAAGAATCCATTGGAAAACTGTTAGAAGTAATCAACAACTACAGCAAAGTTGCAGGGTATAAAATCAATTTGCATAAATCAGTAGCATTTCTATACTCCAGTAATGAACCAACAGAAAAAGAACTCAAGAATACAGCACCATTCACAATCGCAACAAAAAGAATAAAATACCTTGGGGTAAATTTAACTAAGGAAGTGAAGGACCTATATAATGAAAATTACAAGGCCTTTCTGAGAGAATTGGATGACGACATAAGGAGATGGAAAGACATTCCATGTACATGGATTGGAAGAATAAACATAGTTAAAATGTCCATTCTACCTAAAGCAATCTACAGATTCAACGCCATCCCAATCAGACTCCAAATGACATTCTGTACAGAATTAGAACAAAGAATCCTAAAATTCACATGGGGCAACAAAAGACCCCGAATTTCTAAAGCAATCCTGAGAAAAAAGAACAAAACGGGAGGCATCACAATCCCTGACTTCAAAACATACTACAAAGCTACAGTAATCAAAACAGCATGGGACTGGTACAAAAACAGGTGCACAGATCAATGGAACAGAATTGAAAGCCCAGAAATAAAACCACACATCTATGGACAGCTTATCTTTGACAAAGGAGCTGAGGGCATACCATGGAGAAAAGAAAGTCTTTTCAACAAATGGTGCTGGGAAAACTGGAAAGCCACATGTAAAAGAATGAAAATTGACCATTCTTTTTCACCATTCACCAAAATAAACTCAAAATGGATCAAAGACTAAAGGTGAGACCTGAAACCATAAGGCTTCTGGAAGAAAACGTAGGCAGTACACTCTTTGACATCAGTATTAAAAGGATCTTTTCAGACACAATGCCTTCTCAGAGAAGGGAAACAATAGAAAGAATAAACAAATGGGACTTCATCAGATTAAAGAGCTTCTTCAAGGCAAATGAAAACAGGATTGAAACAAAAAAACAACCCACTAACTGGGAAAAAATATTTGCAAGTCATATATCTGACAAAGGCTTAATATCCATAATATATAAAGAACTCTCACAACTCAACAACAAAACATCAAACAACCCAATCAAAAACTGGGCTGGAGACATGAACAGACATTTCTCCAAAGAAGATATACTGATGGCCAATAGGCACATGAAAAGATGCTCATCATCGCTGATCATCAGGGAAATGCAAATCAAAACTACACTAAGATATCACCTTACACCCATTAGAATGACAAAAATATCTAAAACTAGTAGTAACAAATGTTGGAGAGGTTGCGGAGAAAAAGGAAACCCCTCCATACACTGCTGGTTGGGAAATGTAAACTGGTGCAGCCACTATGGAAAACAGTATGGAGATTCCTCAAAAAATTAAAAATAGAACTACCATACAATCCAGCCATCCCACTACTGGGTATTTATCCAAAGAGCTTGAAGTCAGCAATCCCAAAAGTCCTATGTACCCCAATGTTCATTGCAGCATTATTTACAATAGCCAAGACATGGATGCAACCTAAGTGCCCAACAACAGACGAATGGATAAAGAAGATGTGGTACATATATACAATGGAATACTACTCAGCTGTAAAACAGAACAAAATCATCCCATTTGCAATAACATGGATGGACCTTGAGGGAATTATGTTAAGTGAAATAAGCCAGCGAGAGAAGGATAATCTGTGTATGACTCCACTCATATGAGGAATTTAGAATTATGGACTAAGAACAGTTTAGTGGATACCAGGGGAAAGGTGGGGTGGGGGGTGGGCACAAAGGGTGAAGTGGTGCACCTACAACATGCCTGACAAACATTAATGTACAACTGAAATTTCACAAGATTGTAACCTATCATTAACTCAATTAAAAAAAAAAAAGAAGAAGGTTGGGTCATATTCTCCCAGGAGTGGCCCAACCCAAGAAGTTATGGAAATATTAAATACGTGTACTGACAATAATAAAAAATGACCAGAAAGATTCATTCAACTAACTTTTTATTGATGCCAATAGAACAACTAGTAGTCAACCAGATAACAATGGAGGTCTCGGAAGAAGGATCAGCAGGAGATAGCCTAGTGGAAATGTTGTACTTGAGAAAAATTGTTTAGGTGTCTATATTCAGAATTGAGAAACCATATAGGAAAAAGATTTTACATATTCATCCTAGATAAATTATATCCTTGATTCTTCTACTGATAGAAATGGCATTGTGTTAAGATAGGTAATCTCATACACCTTGTGTTATTCTTTTTAACACATCAGAGCGCTAAGCCAACAACTTATGTGCATGGTTTTTAATATTCAGTTCTAATTTAATAAACTTTGAAAGGAAAAATGCTATTTTTCTTTCACAGTCTCAGGTTCTAAAGCTTTTTAATAAAGCAAGTAAAAAAAATATACAATAAGAGTAAAAATATGCAAGTGAGGCAGTTGAAATAGTGGAAAGGAAACTGACCTACATTCTTGTGTTCATTCATACCACTAGGGTGGGTGGGCCCAAGTAAATAACCTTCCTGGACCCTAGGAACTTATCTGTAAAAGAAGGAGAACTGGACTAGATGATCCGTACGGTGACTTCCAGTTCTAAAAGTCCACTGCAAACTTTATATTAAACAAAGAGAAATACTCAATCCTGTTAGGAATAGGGTTGAAGGATCAGGATTTAGGATATGCAGAATAAATGTTCCCTAACCCATTATTTATAATATATACTAAATAGGAAACTCACTTGAATCATAATTGAACGTTTGGAAATTTCTACATATAACTAGGAAAGACCAGCATAGCAAATGTGAAAAATAGAACATATTCCAATTTGGCATAACTGAGGCTTCTTTATTTATTGATATATTAAAAATGGAAACCAATTTCAAACATTTACCAATTAAAAGTGCACATATTTGGGCATCATATACATCCTTCCCTTAGCAAAAGAAAAATATTAATTTTGAATTCAGGAAAATTATTGAGTGAGTTAAAGTACCAGGAAACCCATATTCTGAACTCACTTTAAGATGTCAATACCAATTTCATTTTGAAATAATTAGTGAATATATTACAAGGAAAATTACTCTTTTGTATATTGAGAGGTTACTCCTTCAGTACACATAACAGCTTTGTAAAATGATAATATCATCTTCCCCATAACTAGTTATGTTTCTCATCTATTATAAGTATGATATATCAAGAATGTGAGGGGTTACCCAATTTAAACACCTCTTTCACCCACCTCCATGGAGCCCCACTACTGCTTTTCCACAGAATAAGGAGGGGGAATCTCTCTTCCAAGTAGCAAATAGGTCCTGCTACAGAGTCATGCCCTGGAGTAAAGTGGTCTTACAAGGGGCATGTAAGTGTAGCTTCCAGGAGATTTCCATTGCTTTCAAAGAGAAAATATTCTGCATGACTGGAAAAGCCTTGGGAATGAAGCATGCTCAGTGGTGTGGCCTTTTACTCATAAAAGACAGCATATTTCTTCATTTTCCCAAGAAATTGCTTCCTCTTCTTCAAAGATAGTAAACTGAGCTGTGAGGACACTAAAGAAATCCTATTTCACTTCAGAAAAACTGAAAGTCGAAATAGAAAGCTGATGGCAAAACTAAGATAAGGAATGAGATGCCCAGCTCCCTTACCTCTGTCCCCACTGCCCAAAAAAACTGACTGAATATAAATATTGTCTCTCTGCAATAACACTTTGTCCTGTTGGTTTCACTTCAAGTTTCTTTTGTTTTCCCCAGCTGCTGCCTTGGAAGGCCTTTCAGCATTGCTTGAGTTCCATGGCAGTCAGCCTTTGATAAACATGTTAAAAGGTAACAGTGAAAATAAGGATTTGACCAGTAATGGATTAAAAGGAAATTAGGAAAAATTCACCCATTCAGAACATTCCATAAACAAGGAGCAAGACATTTCTTCATTCGAGAATGAGCCACAAACAACAAAACACAGGGCTTAAAACGTACCCCAAAAGGAAGGAAGGAATGTCTTAGTCTGTAAGAGAACATGGTCTCTACACAAGAAGAGCCTGACATGACGGGATAAATTATAGATGAGAAGAGATTAAACAATAAACAAAGATTGAAATGAGAAGGAAAACAATACTATAGGAAGAAATTGCCCCCAAATAAAACTGCAGTAGTCAATCTCAGAGACACCAAAAGCGCCTACTCAAAACTGCAGAAAATTTGAATCATCAGTGTACAGAACAGACATGAAAAGCACTCTAATGCTAAAGCAAAGGCTAAAACCATGTAAATCGTGAGAGGAAGAAAATAATTAAGGAAAAAGAATAAATGTACAAGCTATAAATAATACGAATAAGAGGAAATCTAAACAAAGTGACAAGTAATAAAGGTACAGGAGAAGAAAGCATTTCTCATCTAAAAGCTTTTAAATATAGATATTGAAAAAGTTTCAGATCTAGAAATTGAGGAGACTCACCATGACTTAATGCAGACATATTCCAGCGAAATGCTTGATTCTTAAGTATAAAGTTGAAGACTCATCGAAGAGAAACAACAGCTAAGTTGGTCTCAGAATGCCTGAAAAAAATGAATATTTGTAGTGCTTTGAGAGGAAACAGTTATGACCCAAGGATTTTGTACCCAATCAAGCTGCTGTTATTATATGAATGTCATCTTAAGATAAGTAATGTATCAGAAAATATACCATTTTGTACTTTTTCACAAAAAAAATAATTTTTGAAATTTGCTCCAGGTTACCAGGAAATTAATCAAAATTAAAAACTGACTAATGAGGAAGAAATGGCAGATTTGACTGGGAGAGAGGATTGATAATGGTTAAAAATCTAGAGATAGTCCAAACCAGCATTGTCTTGTTGGAAAAACATTGACTTTGTGGAATGTTAATAATGTTCTAGTCTTTAAAATGAGTTTCATAGTCAAACAATTTTGGGAAATTCTGCATAATACAATTTCCTATAGATAATTCACAATACTTATGATTATATTAGTCTCTCTTAAGATGTCTTTAAATAAGGATATCAGTGTAATCGTGTTTACCTCTGAATCCCCAAGCTGGCCTTTACATGATAGACTCCTTTTTTTTCAGAACACTTATTAACATGTTATAAGACAAAGTGTTTTTAGGGTCACAAATTTGGAAATGCTAGCCTAAATAATTGTGATAAATATACCTAAAAAGAGAACATAACAGAGAAACTTTACAAAGAGATGTCTACTATAACAGAAAGAAGGGATCAAGATGACAAAGATGATGATGACTAACAGGTCATGGATTAGGAACTAACAAGGCAGAGAGCAACACACACAGTCCTCATCTTCTATTTGATAAAGTTAAAAGTTTTTTTTGTTTTTTGAATTACAGATAAATAAATATGTTTAAGAACGGTGTTAGAAATCAAACATTTGAAAATTTACATGCATTTGCCTCATTGCAGGTCAAGGAGGACACAAATTACGAGTTTAGTTATTATTTCATTCACATGCTTAATTTAAAAAATAACAAGTTATAAAATCAGGAAACTGAATATTATTTATATATCCAAACTTTTGGGATGGGGATAGAGCTGCATTAAAAGAAAATTCACATTTATATACAACTTTTATTAAACAAAGACTAAAAAGTTTAATTAATTAACCCTACATTTTAAGAACTTAGAAAAAGCACTTCAAGAAGTCCTAAGGAAATCAAGAGAAAGGAAAAATAGATATCAAATCAAAAAGAAATGAAATGTAAAGCAGAAAAACTGAGGAAATTACAAAAACAAAAGCCTCAAGCTGATTTCTTCCCTTGGAGTCAGCTGGGGCTCTACTTCAGCAGTTGAAGAAATCTCTCCTCTCGTTCCTCATTCACAGTGCTCTTGCCTTGATTAGGTGGCCCCATTGTCCACCTTGTAGCTTCAGAATGTTTTCTGTCCATATGCCGAGGCCTTTTGCCTTCACTATAAAAGAATTTCACTGACCTCTGGGTATGAATGCATTTCAATTTCAGTTTTCCCCTTATCTATTTTTTCCCACATAATCCTATATTCTAACTTCTGAAGCCAAGGTCCAAAATCTTAGTTTTATGTAAGTGTTAGAGGGAAGATGGAAAAATTACAAATGATGCAGGATATATAAAATGTGTATATGTATTCATATACACAAAAAGTATATATATATGCATATATATTCATATGTATATGTATGGATATATATACATTCATACCAAAAAAAGTTAATCACATGAGAATATAGTGTATTTCCCCAAATCAGAATTTTTTGAAATGAATGTTCTGTGTTAACATACAAAATATTACATAGTTGCAAAGGAAGTATCAATGTAAAACAAAAATAAACAATGAAAACACTTATACAGATATTAAAGAATTGTCTATTAAGAAGGACCTGGACTCAAATGATTTATAGATTAATATTTTAATCTTCAAGGAATAGATCCTTCTTTTAGTTTATATTTTTCCTAGAGGATAGAGAAAATATGAAGTAGATATAAATTTAATATTAAAAGCAGTAAAATGATAAAAAAGGAAAATTGAAGAAAATCTCCCATTTATGCAAAAATACTTTTAAATATTAGCAAATATAAGTCAAATTTTTATTTAGTCTTTCAATTATTTTTATGAAACAACTTTAATTTAAATTTTATCTAATAAATTTCTTACTAAATTTTATTATAAAATATAATAAATCTATTTAAACCTATTACTAAATTTTAACAGATATTAAGTAATGACCAACCCTGTTTTCTCTATAGTCCTACTCTCTTCTCTTTTCCACTACCACTACCAAATTACTTTAAAACCAATCCCAAACACTGATTCATTTCATCTTTAAATATTTCATGTGTCTCCTTTGAGAAATTTTTTTCTTCTTCTGTTGTTTTTTTTCTCTTGCAATCTATTTTTTAAAGATACTATACAGCTTTCCACATTCTGTACTCTGCTGATTGCATCCCTGTGGTATCATTTTTCTCTATTCCAAGTAGTTCCTGTAAATTGGTAGTAAGATATAGAGTCTTTGTGTTGGGGTCCCCAAGAACCCTCTCAGATGCCAGTCAAGGATCAACTTTGTTAGCAGGCCTTTCTAACGATACAGATAATCAGGTCTGCTTACTCTTCTCTACATAGTCGTGATATGATTTACATCTTTTGCATGATTTGCATCTTTTGCAAGAATACTTCCTAAGTAAAATCTTTCTCCATGAAGCTCATAATTCCTGCTTCTGTCCATTTTTGTGATGTTAGCGTCCATTTGTAATCAATTCCTGAATCAATTATTATGTTTTGGATTGAAAAATGATGATACTCTAATTCTATTATTTACTTTTTCATTTATTAGCTGGAACACTTATATTAACACTTACATTAACAGAGGCCTTTTCCTAAAATAAGCAAGACAGTCCATTTCACATAGAAAAGTCAAAATGGATGCTTGAATTGGTTCCTTAGTGACTCAAATGTGACCAGTGAGATTTTTTCTTTAATTATTATTATATACTCATGTATTTAAAAATATTTCATATGTTCCAACTGATTATGGGTATTCTTATTGCTGCCTAAATGGAATTGTCTTTGGCCAATAAGAGCTCCTTCAGGTTGGCTCTTGAGTCCTATAGTGTCTTCATAGCTCCTTTGCTTTCTGTTTTGACACTGTGTTCTAGGCTTAGCTTGTATTTTTCCTGCCTCAGACCTGGATTCAGCCACTTCTTGGTTTGTTTACTGGGAATTGGTACCTAGACATCATACTTTGGGCAATGTGGGTGCTCACTATTATTGGGTTAGTTATTGTTTATAGGTTTTTCAGTAGACAAATTTAGGAAATATGTTTGCTTGCTTACTTGGTTTTATTTTTAATATAAAATATATTAGGACTTTTTATATTTCTAATTCAAATGTAAAATTTCAGAGTTTTTAACTTCCTTAATCTTATATCTACATCTCTTCTCTCTTACACCAAAACTTTTAGTTCCTGCTGATATTAATTTACTTACGTGCTCATAACAGTTGCAGAATAATACCACCAAGAGTAGATTACCAAAAACAGCTCAATTTTTTTTTCTGTTATTTTAGTCTTTAGGATACAAACCACTAAGAAAGTTCAGTCAATTTGCTAGGTTTTAAAATGTCTTGAATTTTTTTATGTTTGGTTAGGCCACCAATTCAATACAGAGTTAGATTCATTTGTTTCATTTTAATCTTGTTTTTAACTGTGTTTTTTTCATTTTGGCTTGATTTTTATATTTATGTAAAATAGGTCTGTGATTACAAAGATAAATCCATATATATGCAAATTTTATATCTTCAAAATGTATGTTCTTTCTTACTCCTTTCTGACCTATAGATAACCATACACAGTTTTCTCCAGCTTGTTTTTCTTTTTTGTTTAAAAACATACTGAGGATTATTCCATATGTGTATGCAAAAATATTCCTCCTTTCTTACTACAGCTACATATTTCCATTGTATGAATATACAATAGTTCATATTTAATCAGACACTCATTGATGAGCATTTGGGTTCTTTCCAGTTTTTACTACTATAAATAATACTCTAATAAATAGGCTTGTGTGCATGTCTTTTCATATTTATCTGGAGTATTTTTGGGATAGATTCCTAGAAATGAGCTTTCTGGGTCAAAGGGTAAATGCTTATGTAGTTTTGCTAGATATTGCCAAATTTTCTTCCATGGGGGTTGTACCATTTTGTATTACCACAAGCAATATTTAAGAGTGCCTATTTCCTCGCAGCCTTGCCAACAGTTGTCAAACTTTTGGATTTTTGCCAACTTGATAGGGGAGAAGTAATAACTCAGTGTAATTTTAATTGGCATTTCTCTTATTATGAATAAATTTGAGCATCTTTTCTTATCTTTAAGTGCCAAGCAAATATAAGTACAAAATATATTAAAAGTATGATCTCTTACTAACAAGTAAATGTATTCCAAATAAAGTGTTGATTAATAAGAAACAAATTAATATAATATATAATACAAGTGTATTAAATTTAAATATATTTACTCAAAATAGTCTGAAAAGCATTTGTCCATATGTCATTCAATACTCATTTGTTAAGGGATTTTTCGCTTTTAAAATTTGAATTTCTATATAATGAATTCTGCTCACATATTTACCTCTCTTACCTCCTCACTTCTCAATGAAAGGAAAGGAAAAGAAATACAAAATAACATTTTTCTAGCAGCACTGTAAAACTATGAAGTGGGCTATCAAAGAAGCAGTGAATATTAGGATTTTCTGGAAGACATGATGTAGATATGATTAAAATTGAAGAGGAGTATATTGGTTCCAAGGGCTTAAATTTAAAGATAAAATATAGGAAGGAGAGACCAGCCCTGTGGAGTAGTGGTTAAGTTAGCACACTCTGCTTCAGTGGCCCAGGGTTCACTGGTTTGCATCCTGGGCATGGACCTAGCACCTGTCATCAAGCCATGCTGTTGTGGCATCTCACATAGAAGAACTAGAAGGACCTACAACTAGGATATACAACTATGTACTGGGGCTTTGTGGAGAAAAAAAGGAAGAAGATTGGCAACAGACGTTTGCT